GTGTGTGTGTGTGTGTGTGTGTGTGTGTGTGTGTGTGTGTGTGTGTCTAGGTTGGAGCCACTGCCATCTCTTCACACCTCTCTGCTTGGCCTCTGCACTGGAGGGTGAGGTCCAGGGGTCGGGGCCATGTTCAATTTATACCCTGGGCTGATATGTTGCTGGGAAACGCTGTCACAGAAGACTGGTTACTATAATATTAAAGGGCTCTCATTCCACTTACCCACCTTCCCAGTGCTCAGTCCCCTCCTCTGACACCGCTTCTCCTCTGCATGCTCCAGCAATGGAAGGGTTAATCCTGGGCTACCAGGGACCCACCAGCGCCCTGCCCCAGCTCCTCAGCCTTTTTCCGTTGTGATTTTTCAGTGTCTGTGCATCCGTTATGGAATATCTTGATTCCCACCTCCTGTTTGTACCCTTACGATCTGGTACAGCACCTAGTACAACAAGAATGGAGGGAAGCTTCTAGCACCCTGTCCAGCACCTTGTAGGTGCGGCATGGACCTGCTCTCCTTCCCTCTCCTGCACCCTCCGGGGCCATGCTCTGCACTGGGGCTGCAGGTCCGGGACTGCTTGTGGCCAGGTCCTGAGCAGAGGTGATGGGGAGCTTGATGCCTTGAGCTGAAGGCGTTGGATGCCAACCTCTAGATGTGCTCACCTGTGGGTGACAATGGACGCCCCCCACACAAGGACTCCAACCCCCCTGCTCTCCCAGGAACCATCTCAGATGGCTCCCAGTCATGCTGCTTCCCGGACAGCGGGGCGTGTCTTCTCCTGTCTGGGGAACAGAAATGGAGACTTTTATGGAAAAGGGAAACCAGATGAGCCAGTGTCGGGTGGAAAGAGGGCTGGCTGTGGGTCAGCAGACAGGGAACCCTGCATTGTGTCCACCCCTCAGTGACTGGCTCAGAGGAGGGATTCCTTCAGCCTCAGTGTCCTCATCTATAAGATGGGTTCACATCCACCTGTACTACCACTGGAGATTCAATACCTGCGCTCAGTGAAGTACAGGTGCCGTGCCCATGGGAGCGGCCCACTGCCCTTACTCCCCAGAATGTGGCTCTGGCGTGAGAGTGGTCTTGGGAACCACATCCTGGCGCAGTGTGGGGAGAGCATAATATGGTAGTCTCAGGGCCCTGTGGTGACTGGTGACACAAATGTGTCTCCAGAGGAGACTGTGGGGAGCCTGTGGCTGGCACTGCAGTAGCCTAGGGGTTCACTCATCTTGTTGCCTCCCCTCCTTGCTGCAGGTGGAGAAGAGGTGCCCGAGCACAGCTCGTTCCAGAGGACGGCAGGGGCATGGCCACATGAGCAAGGGCGAGGTTCCCTGGAAGATGCTTCCAGTGGAAAGAACCCGGGAGGTCTGTTAGGAGCACCAGACCTGTGGCCCCCACATCCCGACAGTGTGGCCTATTGTCACACAGGAAAGAAGGCAGAGGGACACTAGAGAGAGGAGGGAGCAGTCATGCAGCCAGTTCTCAATCAATGGGCTGGAACGTCCTGTGGGGACCGCTGGCCACAGAGACCTTTGTGCAACCGAGGGAAGGACCTTCATGAGCAGTCTTGGATTCCGCGGGCACCTCCACCATGGCCCATCCCAAGCAGCTCTGTCTGTGGGGGAGGGGTGCCATGCATCCTGCAGCCCCAGCGGGCAGCCTGGGTGCCCCTTGTCTCCCACTCACACACCCAGGGGTGCTGGGGCACTCGCAGATGGCTGGCAGTGCACACGCCCTGTATCACGTTCCCTCCCCCTTGGGAGTGAGACTATCACGGTCAGAGTCGGGGGAGGAAGGTTGGGAGTTGGACCTCCACCAGACTGCAGACCAGTCTAGAGCCAGCCTCTCAATAGGGTGCACAACTGGGCAACGGGCTTAAAAAGCACCTCGCAGTTCACCGTGGCTGAAAGAGATCTAGAGCCAAGGGGGAAATATGTATGAAGTAAAAATATTAGTAACAAATAAAAATCAGGTTTAGGAATAAAGAGGGGAGAAGATGGTGGTTGATACTGGCCTAGCAATGAAGCTAGGGTCAAGGTCATGGGAGGTTCAGGAAGTAAGGAGTCTTTCTTCTGCAGTGCCTCCTCCTGAGACTTGGAATAGACACCTGCCACGTCTATCTCCGACCATAATCAGGTACATCTTGGTACATGGGTTCAGGGGGAACGTTGTCAGGGCAGCTAGGTTTGGCAGGACCGGTGGTAGGGTTGGCAGGGCTGGTGGTAGGGTTGGCAGGGCTGGTGGCTGCGTTGACAGGGATGTCAGGAGTGTGGATGTGGCTGGCGGTCATGTTGGCTGTGTTGAAGCTGAATATGCTTGAACCTATTGTCATGTTCTGAAAGGCAAAGGACACAAGACCATCATCTTCTTCTGTAGTAAACCGTAAAATGGTCACTAATTCTTCCCCTTCCTGTTTCCATGCCTTGGTGGACCTTCTCTCACAGATGCTGGGCTTAGTCACAGGGCTTTCCTGGGACAGGGATGAGCATATTTTGCATGTTGTATAAGTGCTAGTAATTTGTGGAGAGAGGGAAGACTTATCAACTGCAAAACTGATTACAAAGCCAGGTGAATGGCTTTGGCCCGGGAAGATTAGCAAGTGTGACACAAGTGAGGACAAGAGAGCTTGCTGAGGGAGCTGCCATGTTTTACGACTCTGTGGAACGGTCACTCTGTGAAGGAGCTCAGGCTGGCCTACCAGAGGATGAGATAGCCCGTGGATCAGAGAGGAACTGTTCCATCAAGGGCTCCGTACACAGGTCTTCCCACCTGGTAGCTGGCTACAGATGCAAGAGCGCGTCCATCTAAGACCAGCAGATGGACTCACTGATGATTGCCCAGACTGATTGTATTCAGAATCAAGAGCTCAATAAATGGTTGCTTTTTTTTAAATCACTAAATTTTGGGGTCATTTGTTATGCAGCAAAGCTTATCCGATACGTTCTTTGTCAGGCCTCATTTGTCTGTCTTTGGTCACGTCTTGCTACTCCCCCCCGCCCCCCGCCCCCCGCAGGAGCACGCTCTGATTCCTGGGACACTGACCTCAAAGCGTCTCCAGCAGACAGCCTGGCACCCAAAATGCGAGACCACACATGTGAGGAAGAACTCCAAGAGGACAAAGGGCAGGAGACTACCCACGTAGGCCTTCATGTTAATCTAGAGGCAGACAGGAATGGAAGCACTTTAGTCCTTCGGGTTGACTATCTAGGTGACACTCAGGGCTCACCTTAGACAAGTGCCACATGCCTCATCTGGAAGGCCTGAGACCCTCTGCAGTGGTCTCTTGAGCAGATCCTCTGGGCACCCCTTTGTGTGCCCTTCCTGTCCACTTAGTGGACCTTACCTGATGCCCAACCGTCAGGACCTGCATTCTTTAAACTAATTGTTGGATTTTTGTCCCTTTGACATTATAAAGGACATTTACATATACAAATGGACCATCAGATGGAGACTCACAGAGGGCAGGGTCTGGAGGGTCCCAGGCTCCGTCCCTGTGGGGCTGGGGTGCACCACTCTCCTGCACATGGATGTGTTCTTGTTTGCTCGTCCCCCCCACGGACACCCCTGAACACCTCTCTTACAACACCTGCCTTTCTCTGCCTTGCGGCTTCCTCTGGCCTCCAGAGCCCACGCTGCTATTGGCACAGCAGGTCTGCAGCTCAGGAAAGAGGCCCCTGGAGGGCAGCCCTCTATTAATGACCATCAGGGTTCGGTGTATGAAGACCCCAGCTGCCTTGCCCCTTGGGTTCCTGTTTGCTTCTCTCCCAAATGAACGATAGGTCTCAAAGTCGCATGAGAAGAACCCAGGCTGAGATGTGCCTCAACAAGCTCACAGACCAGGTGATTGGTGACAGGGGCTGTTGGGACAGACACCTATGAGCGTGTGATCATCGGCTCTGCTTGGCTCCTGGCTTCTGTGGCCTGATCCTTATGATGCTATATGGATGCTGTCCTTGGAGGGTGGCCATGGGGACTCAGAGCTTGAGGAGCTTCTGCTAAGAGGGAGGCCAGGACAGATCAAGAGACCCCATAGAACTCGGTGTAATTAGGATCATGTGCATCCCCAGTGGGGTGGAGGGGTCATGGAGATCATCCTGTGGTCCCCTCTACACTCTTCCCCTCTGAGGCAGAGAGGACTGGCCCCTTGCCTAAGGAAATTCCAAAGCCTCTGGGTGCCAGTACACTAGTGGTCATTCATGACAGAGGTCACGATGCCCAATGACTGCTTTTAGGACCAGTAGATGTTGGCCTCTTGATTCCCCAGGACTATAGCCCACCCTTGATGAGGACATTCTGTCCCTCCCAGGGGACTCCAGAGGCCAACACCTGGCCTGGTTTGTGGCTTGCTGCATCCTCTAGATGCCACATTACATCAGCAGAGTCACTTCATCCTAGAGCCTGCAGGAGCCCTTTCCGTAGGGAGCACCTCACCTGCACACAGGTCTGGATAGAGACCCTGGGCCCTGCCAGCCCTCCCAGCCTGCTCGGTTAGTCCTGAGGGAGGACAGGGTCACGGCTCACTGAGGAACAGTTATTCTTGCCCTTGCTCTTCAGGCCTGCTGAGTACTGTGTCAATGCTACTGAGGTCCTTCCTGGGTCCCAGTGGCCCTATTTCCACCCCCGCCACCTGTCTTCCAGCCTCATCACATGCCCGAGGGCCTCCCTTGGCCAGGAGACTGCTTTGCCCACGTGCAGGGCAGACAGGAAGCACCTGGGAATTGGTGGCCTCAGCAGCAGTTTTCAACCAAGGACTGAGTGGAGTTGGGAGCTCCCTACCTGCTCCCTCGTCCAGTGCAGGCCAGAACTGAGACACCCACTCCTCACTCTGCCAGACTCCCACCAGGAGGGAGCTCCTGTGGTCACCTGCCTGACCACGCCCTTCATCCTGGCTCCCCCTTCCTTTGCTCCCTCCCCTGCTGGGGCCTCCTGGGTTCACCTCCGACAGAAATGCCCTGCACCTGAGTCTTGCTCCTGCATCTGCTTCTGCAGCCCCCAAATAAGACAGGAAGCTAGCTTCAGCACCTCTTCTCCCAGTGACAGGCTGCCCTCAGTAGGTTCCCGGGGCAGGTCATCTTGTGCATTCCATTGTGGATGTGAGTGGGAGGTGCCCTGGCTGCAAACCTGAGCACTTGCTCCCTCTAAACAGGATGTGGGGGGGGGGTAAAAGAAGGGCCCCGCTGTCTCCTCCTCTCTGTCCTCTCTGTGAAGTGAGGTTCATGATGGTGGCCTCCACAGCCACGGAGTTTGGTGAGGGTCATACTTGGTGGACACAGTGCTCATCTTACTAGGTTGGAATTCTGTTGGAATTCCCTCCTGCTCTGGAATTAACCCTGTGATCCCTCTTGTCCTTTGGCAGGATTGCTCACCTCCCTTGGAACGGACATATCTAGAATGAAAATGGAGATGCCCGTCAGGGAGAAGACCGCACTGACCACGTTCATGGCGATGCTGCCGTTCACCTGGAGGACACAGAGGGAGACAACCGTGAGCTTGGCCCAAAGCCCAGCATCTGGCAACATAGGGAGGTGGGAGAAAAGAGAAAAGTCTGTGCAGGAAAGAGGTAAGAAGCCAGGGGATTCCAAGCAGAGTGAGGTGGGAATTGTTCGGGAATCACTGTGCAGGTCCCCCTAGGACCGGGGCCCCCTTTGCTTGGCCAACACCTCACTAAGTAGAGGGACAGGAAATGAGGTTCGAAGGCTGGGTTGGAAAGACACAAGGACAGGGCCCAGGTGCTCTGCAGGGAGCTGAGCGGGGATCCCAGGCTTGCCTTGGGAGGAGGGTGTGGGAGGGACGTGGCTCCTGAGGTGGAGGGCTGCAGCCAGGGCTGGAGGGTGACAGGGGAAGGTTTTCAGGGCCAGAAAGTCTAATGGTCAATGTTAAGGGATCTGCTTCTCTGTGATGAGATGCTGACGTCCTGCAATTCTTCACACCGACTCCTACTCAGGCTGCCTCCCTGAGGGGTATGGGGAAGGAGACAGGGGCTGTGGGCCACATTTGGGCTGAGCCTGGGACAGCTGTGGGACAGAGCCTGAAGCAGAGATGTCACTCAGATGTCCACAGCAGAGCAAGGGGGTTAGGGGATGCCCAGGAATTGGCAGACACCATTAGAGGGCTCTCGACTCCCCAGAGATTGGGGGACAGGGTTCAACCAGTCTTGTTGGGACATGAAGAAGCAGTGTGAGCTGAGCTGATGTTGGGGTATCTGGGGGGATCTGTCCTTTGGGAGGGATGAAGTAAGGAAAGCAGATGGGAGCAGTGGACATTTGTCCTGGGGAAGGAGATTGGTGTCTGGGGACACTGCAGTGAGATCACCCAGCCCCTCAGCCTACTGCCTTCTTCACATGGCGGGAGACAGATCCGATGCCTGCAGAGGGGAGAAGGGGTTGAGGGGAAGGAGGGCTTGGGCAGGGGTGAAGGGGGCCACCATGGAGCTCTGCACTCATTCCCAAGCTTCTTAGAGGCCACAACAAGCTCAACACATGAGCGAATGTTTTTCTGGATGTTGAATGACACCCTAAAGGCTCCAGGGAATGCTATGCCCTGTGCCCTGTGGCTGTGCCCTGTGCCATTGTTCAAAGCAGACTTCCCAGGTCCAGCCAAAGAGGAAGACAAGAAGTGCCAGGGAGGCAGCTGCCAGGGAGGCGGCTGCCAGGCACCATCCCCGCGGGCACTGCTCTCAAACTCTCACGAGTTTCCCAAAGAGCCAAGTGGTTTTTAGCAACTGAATTCTTGTGATAACTGGAAGCACAGGTTTGGAATCAGCGCTCTGGGTCCAAGTCCCAGCTGTGCCCTGTGTTCAGTGTGTGACTTCACATAAGACCTGTGACCTCTCTGGGCCTCAGTTTCCTCATCTACAATACAGGGACAACAGAACTTCCTAGAGTCGTGCAGATGTAATGGGATGAGCTGGGTGAAGGTTCTGAACCCAGCGCTGGGCCACTCTGCCACTGTGGGACCTCTTTTCCATGATTGGGAGGGGAAAACATTAACACTCAGGGTCACCAAAGAAGGCATCAAACTCACCACACATGGGCTGGGGTCCTTCTCAGCCAATACAGACAGGGATCCAGAGGCAATGTACTATGCAGACAAAAAAGAATGATACGTTTGGCAGAACGTTAAAAATGACAGCCATCCATTCAGAGGTGGGTCTTCCCTCAGTCTGCAAGTGCTATGCATTTTGTTCCAGAAAAATATGCAAACTGTTTCCTTCTTTCCAACATTTTCCCCATCCCAGTGGACGTGCCCAGCCCACTGAGTGCTGCGATGCTCTGACCCCTGTGAGCCAAGTCTAAAGCCTCCCTTCCTCTGAATCTTGTTCCAGGGTGCTCTGTCTCATTATCATCACCTTCTACAGGTTCTCCTTGAGGACGTTGCCTGGGCATGTCACTGCTCACTTATTGCTCACTCTGCCTAACATGGACTGGATCTTGGACAACCAAAGTCAAGTTGGTGTGGTGGGCAGAGCCTTGGTGCTGGGAGTCAGGAGACCTGGGATCCTGCTCCACTTCTGTGACTGGTCACCTCACTGTGCTCCAGGACCCTGCATGAGAGTCCCAACTAGCACTCCATGATGCAAGGCAGGTGATGGGCATGGAACACTGGAGGCTGGACTCTAAGCTCAGTCTAATTAGAAGAGGCTGAACTAGGCGCCTGGACTCAGCTCCTTCTTCCAGAACTTTCTGTCCATGAGGGTGTGATGGTAGCATCCAACCTCTCCAAATTCAGTCTCCTCATCTAGACAATGGACTTGGATAATGATCCCTGCCCTCTCTACCTCCAAGTGGGACATGCTGTTCAAGTGGGAGAATTAGAATGGTATTCTCAGTGGGGAGGAGAGGGGATTTCCAAAGCATCCTGGGCTCTCTTAAAGTTTCTCCTCTAAGAACTCACTTCCTGTGCCACTGTGGGAGGCTAGAAGGCAGCAGGGCTGGAGCATAAAGTTGGGCCTGGCTTGGGAGCCTGCAGCAGGGCTCTGGCAGAGGACAGCAGCATGGGGCGGCCTTGATCATCCCGCCATGTGCTGATTGCAGCCCTCAGCCTTCTGGGACTTTCCTCACAGGGGGACTTCATTGTGTTCCAGTGGTTTCTCCAAGAGACACTTATTCCTGTCACTGCTGTATAGACTTGTGCTTGCAGCTTGGGTCAAGGTTATCAGTGTGCAGTCGTTGCTGACACCTTTGGTCTTGTCAGTCCACAGAAAGTGAGAGCCAGGAAGTTTGAGAGGAAGACTTCATGCCTGCTCTTCTGACATCAGTGCTGTGACAGGACTTAAATCCTAAAATCCCCCCGGAAATGGCTTCCTGTTTGCACTCAAAACTGGTTTTGCATGTTGATACATATGCACATATTTCTGGAACAAAGTCTATCTTTAATATTCTTTTAGGCTACAACAATACAGACCAGATGTTCTGGACAGGCACTTGGCCAGCAAGGTACCTCCACCACTGAGCCAAGCCAATTCGTGCCTTGGCTCTTGAAACCAGTGAACTTTGTGTCCAAGCCACCTATGTGGATTTCTCTCGTTTTGCTCATAAAACTCGCCTTTGCCTCAATCTCCTGGACTCTGCCCACAGTTTGCTTTGGGCTGAGTGTCCCCACTGCAATGCTCCTCTGTACCCAGATATTGTCACTATTCTTTGGCAAACTTCTCTCTGGCAGTGCCATCGCTACAGGTAACAGGTGAGTGCAGAGTCTGGCTGACCCAGCGTTATGTCCTGGGGGCACTGTTGAGCATTCTATTTGTCCGTAGGGAAATATATATGCTATCTACCTGATCTGAGTGTTTCTTTATGAATTTGTGTTTTGCATATAAGTCTTTCTAGGCCACTATATTTGAATTTTTAGTCAATCCAGTCAGTAGTAGCATTCAATCGGTGGCAATCAAATAGGTTTGTCAAACAAATTTAAAATGCCAAGTCTTAAAATAACCCAGTGGATTAAAGAAACTATTTGATAGATCTGATGATCTGTGACAGTGCTGAAAACCATGCCACCAAAGTCCCTTGCAGTTCAGGAAGGAAGTCCTGGGAATAGAATAGTGGCACAGATAAGAGATCTCTGTGAATTTCTGTTGAAGCCTCTTCCATTCCCTTATGTGTAAAAAAGACTTTCTATTTATGTTGTTTTAAAAAATAGTGCTGGGGATCAAACCCAGGATCTTCTAAATACTAGGCCAGCCCTTTACTACAGAACAACAGACCAGTCCTCTATTCTATTGACGAGATGATTGAGATGCTGTATGAGAAATGGTTATAACTGGCCACTGCTCTAAGAACGTGTTTTGTCTGATGCTTGTACATTGGAAAGGAGCTTTGAACCGGATGATCTGAAATCCTAAAAGTGATAAGCGAGTCCCAGACAGTTGCATCTAAAACAGCCGAAATGGGTACTAGCCAGTATGATAAGACAAGAAAACGAAAACTATGGACAGATTGAGCATGAAGCACTAACAGGGTGATTATTAGTATATATCATATTCTACACAGAAATACCAAAAGATTCTAGAAGCAAATCACTAGAATTAATAAGAAAGCTTAGTAATTTCATTAGATGTGAGATTTATATGCAAAAGTCAATTGCATGTTTATATACTAGCAAGAGATGTTTGAGATGAAGAAAAAATTGCAGAACAATGTAATAAAGATATGAAAGTTTTTAATGTAAAAATTAACAAATGTTGAAAGGTATTAAATTCTGATGCCTATTCATAGATCAGAAGAATAAATGCCAGCAAGACATGAATTCCTTCCATGTTGATCTGTGGCTTCAGAATAAGTTCAATTGACCAGATTTGATCATCATAAAGTCTATATGTACCAAATTATCACACAGTATCTCATAATTTTGTGCCATTAAAATAACACAATAAAAATATCTATCAAAGTATATTGCAGCTTAAAAAAGCCACTTGGAAGAATCAGAAGAAAATTTTTAGTAGAATGTTTCTTGGAACTTGAAATATAGATGGATGATCAAAAGCTAACATTAGTTTTGGCTCCCCTGGCTAAAAAGGAAAACAAATTCCAGGAAATTTTAGATATAAAGATTTAGCCTAAAGACATAGTAATCAATACAGTGTAATATAGAATTACAAAGACAGATCAAGCAACGTGGAACAGGAGAGAGGTCTCAGAAGCAGACCCACGCATATTCATATGTGACATATGATATTTGGCTTTTTAGGTCAGCAGACAAAGGAGAGCCTAGGACAATTACTAATTCACAGAGACAAAAAAAATCAAAATTGGACATTAACATAACATAACCAGAATCAATCCCTAATAAATTAAGGATTTAAGGGTAAAAGTAAACTTTAAACAAATTCAGAGGAAAACATAGAAGAACCTCTTTATCTTTTCCTAGGACAGGAAAAGATTACCTCGGCAAAACACTAAAAGCACAGAACACAAAAATTTTGACAAATTAGGACATATTCAGATTAAGATATTGTGTCCATCAGGAGATACCATAAAAAAAGGATTAGCCAAAAATCAAAGGATCAGTCAAAAAACTGGAATATTATTATTATCAATAAAGAAGAAGCATGAATTTACAAAGAATCCCAATGAATCAAGGAGAAAAAGACAAACAACCCAAAAGAAAATAAGAAAAAAGAAAAAGAAAATTGGCATGTCGGAAGAGAAGGGAAAACTGAATGTTCAATAATGAAAAGATGCTCAAAGCGTTGATAATTAGATGGAAATTCAAATTTCCCACCAGACTGGCAGAAATTTTAATGTTTGCCCTGGTTTTAATTGCCCTGGTTTCCACAAATCTCATTGGCTCTGGGGCAATATCTCAAGGCACACCTGGGACCACTTACAGTGTGGTAACACAGGAAGTCCTGTCCACGTGCAACACACAACCAATTACAGTGGCACGGTTTGCACTGCCCAGAACTGAGATCAACCTAGACATTTGTTGAGAAGAAAATGGACAAGTAAATTGTAGTGTATTCATGCAGCAGATCACGACCCATCAGTGCAACATGAACTATGGCTGCTTGTGGCACAGACGAATCTCCAAAACAGAATATGCAGTGGGACAGAGCGAGCAGTGTGAAGATGCAGCATGCGTCATTCACATGGCTTTATACCCGTGCAAAGGCACGCCGTGTGGGTGCATGTGGCTGGACCACAAAGAATGGGAATGAGAAACACAAAATGGAGAATAGGGGCCACTTCTAGAAGCAGGGAGCGGATACTCTTGGGGTTTTAAAACTTGGTGATGCTTCGGGTTTTGAGTTAGGTCATGGAAACCTAACTCTTCATTTTTTAAAAATTTTAATTTTTATTCCCTTTAGACACACAATCCTAAAACTCATTCCAGCCACCTTTGAGTGTGCAGTTCACCAGCAGTGTGCACCAGCAACACCACCATCCACACCCAGATCCCTTTCCTTGTCCCACACTGAACTGTCGCCATTCAATACCACCTCCCCATTGGATAGCCTCTGGAAACCACCGGGCTACCTCTCTCTCCCTATGCATTTGACTCATCTAGGTCCCTCACACAAGTAGAATCACACAACATGGGTGTCCATTTCTCTGTTAATTAACTTCTTCAGTTCCATATTCTTAGTGGCCTGTCAGCAGAAAGGCTTCCCATCTGCCTGCTGAGGTGCCAGTGGTTTTGGAAAAGACTCTGGTTTGCAGTATTTGCTGATTTCTTTGGTGCAGAACAGTGGATCATTTGTGGTCAAATAGCTTACCTAATTCCTGACAATTTTACAGTCAGCTGCCGTGACTGGCAGGCAGGCGCTCTCGCCAGCACAGGACTGGATATGCTCTGATTTACCTATGAGATATTTCCTAGAAAGAGCCCTGAGGAAGTGCAGTGGAGAAGGCATAAAGCAATAAAGGTTTGTGTCCCAAATGTGCCCTGGAGGCAGGGGCTGCTGCTGGGCAGGTGTGAATTGGATGCTGACCTTTTGCTACACCTGTATGTAGAGGTGGAGGGCTGGCTCTTGGCTCTGAGCATCCTATGACTGTGAGTGGAAATTCCTGCTCTTTCTTTATGTTCTCCTTGTCCCCCTTGGGTGACCCAGGAAGGAGGCTTTGTACTCACGGATAATCCTCCCCAGAACAGATACCCTGACATTCCAGTCACAGAACGATCGGAATACAGCAGAGGGTTGATCCCAGAGAAAACGTGCATCAGGCCAATGATGATCTGGATGGCCTAGGAGGAGACCAGAGGATGGTGAGAGGCAGAGCTGGGGGCCACGGGCTGCCACGCTGCTCTTCCAGCCACGCTGATGCTCCAGAATGACTCGAGGGACCACCTCTCTGTGCCCAGGTTTCTTTCCTCCTAAGGTGGGCTCTCAGAAGCTGGCCTGCAGGGCTCGTGCGAGACTGCAGTGCACATGGAGCTCGTTGGCCAGTTCCTGCAGGGAGGTGTGTGGAAGCCCCACACAGACACTTTCCCACACCCGAGTTCTCTTCAGCCGTTCCCATGACTAGCCAGTTTCCCTTGGCAATGCATGCCCTGGGAGACCTCCTGTCCCTCTTGTCCTTCCTTCTCCTCTAACCTTCTCCTACGGGTCACCTAAACCCTTTTCTGATGACCCATCAGAATGGATCCCCTCCTATTTGGGCTCCCACGGCATGGCTATTCCTGAGAGGTGGGAGGTGGCTCTGGGTGTCTCTGGGCCTCGGTTTCCTCAGGGGTCAAATGACCAGGGTTGAGCAGATGCGTCCCACTCTCCTGGCCCATGTGTCTATGAGTTGGTGACAGATGTGCATTTCACACGATCGTCCCTTCACAAGACAATGTGCTTGATTTTTTTGTCTGTGTTCTCATTAGGTCTGTATTTCAGAGGGCTGGCATAATTTTCCCACTAAAATGAAATTCAGTCCATGAAAGACAGCCCACATTTTTAGCTTTCACTGTGGCTGACCAGGATCCCCAGGCATTTGCTGACTCAATTCTGTTTTGAGAAATTTTCAAAAAATTCTTCCAAAATACCTTAAAGTCACTGGAAGCCAAAATTAACAAGGATTTATCCGGTATTAATTAATGATGAGAGTAATCATGTTACAAAATCCCAATCACTGTGCAATATCATAGGCTAGCTTTACCTTTCGAAGGGTCCACACACATGTCTAATCTCACTTGATGCTCACAACCAGCATTTGTTTTCTTGACACTGTTTTATGGAACTTAGACTAAGATTGATTTTGATAAGTTTTGTCATTGGTAAAACCCACATTTTTATTCCTGAAGGATCAATGAGGAAGGATAGATTGGGGTGTGTGCTAAGTCTGTTTTCTGTTGCTCCCACGGAATACCTGAGTCTAGGTAATATGCAGAGAAAAGAGGATTATTTAGCTCACAGTACAGAGGCTAAAAGCTTAAACTGCATGATGCAGGATCTGGTGAGACAATCCTGGCTTTGTCACCTTGAGGCAGAGAAACCAGAGAGGATGGGGAAGGGCCACTCTTGCCATTTTGATCAGAACCTGCTCTTGACATCTAATCAGAAGCCCCACGGGGACTATGCAGTTCTCTTCTGAACCCAATGACCCAAGCACTTTCCCTGTGCCACACTTCTTACAGTTCCTCATCAGCTCTCAACATCGCCCTGCTGGTGGGAACACAGTGTCCAGCACATGGGCACCTGGGGGGCCTGCGCTAACCATACCCACCCACAGGGGGTTTCGTGAGTCAGTCTCTTCCCGACCTGTGCTTGCTCTCTGGCTTCCTGGCCTTCCAACCTCACACAGAAGCTCTCTGGGCGCCCAGGATGAGCAGGGCATGCATCCTCTGGCCACGCCAGAAGCTGATATAATTGCAGTAGCTGCCTCGGAGTGAAGACCCTCCCTGGTCTTTGAGGGTGGTGACCTGGTCAGCTCTGAGTCCCTGTCACATAGAATGGGTGAGTGTGTACAGACTGAGGATCTGTTATAAGCCGGTCCCCTTGCTAGGAACTGGCTGGGCCTCCAGTCTGCCACAGGACTGATCTGGCTTCTGCCCCAAGAGGGGGATGACCGGAGCTTTTCCAGGGGCCAGATGAGGCTGGCGGAGGCAGGTCAGGGTCAGGATCCCCTTGGTTGAGGAGGAGATCACAGAGCCTCAGGACCTGAAGGGATTTAAGAGAGGATCTCACTAGATCTGCTCCCTTTAGCGATGAGAAAATTGAGGCCCAGAGAGGGAAGGATGTGCCTGAGTCCACCCAGCCTCCAGCCAGCCCTGATACCTGGATCACATGACTTCCTGGTCGATGGTCTTTTGAGTGAAACTGATGTGGACCTTTGGCCCTGACAACTAGGAAGGGGATGGTTAACCAACTTTACAGCCTCCCCAAAGACAGGGAACTGGTGGAGAGGGGGAGGGAGACGGGGAGGGGGACTGCTGTCTGTGGGACCTCCCGGGTGCAGCCTCCAGAAACTGTCACCTGCTTTGTTCTTTGCTCTCCAGATCTTTGCTTTCCTCATCTAACTGCACCAGAAGTGGCCTTATGAAGTGACCCAAGTAGAAGAAAAGACATCATACTTACCCCTAATGTTCTGACCTCATCATTGATGAATTTCTTGGGATCAAATGCAGGAAATGATGCAAATGACATGTTCCATGCCATGTTCGACGGGGACTGGCCTGAGGTGGGGGTCAGCCCGGGGATGGCGATGGCAGGATTCTCAGGGTCTCCAGGCAGGGTCTGGACACGGGCTGTTCCCAGTGGGTACTGGGTCACTCCAGGCGAAGTCTGCAAACCGGGCCCTCCTGCTGGAGGCTGGAGCACGGTGAGCTGGCCCTGTGCACCGGTCACCCCCGCTGCATTCTGGTACACTAGGAATGGCTGCGCTAAGTTTGTTCTTCCTGTATCACACTGGACCACTGTCATGGAGGGTGGGTAAGTGGTTAACCCCGAAGGTTGCTTGTGGCTTTCTGAAGTCACCGGATACCGGGGCTGGATGACATGGACACTTGCTGGGGCATGAGCACCGGGCACATTGCTGGTTCCACTCTCCAGTGTGGACATGGTGTGCAGCTGCCACAGAACACACAAGAAGGTGCATTTTCCTCCTCTGACAAAATGCATGACCCATCTGTCCTCATTCTTATGTTCAGCTTCATCCTCATTAAAATGGAAACCACCTACCACGCTGCTCTACCCAATAAGCTACTTTCCTTCCTGGGAGTCCATGTTCTAGGGACATTCTATTTTCTTTATGTGGGGGTGGATTTGGAGACTAGGTCTCCTGGCTGCTTAGCTCCTGTCCACCCTGGGTACCTTTTGGCTGGTGGTTTTGTTCAGGCCTCTGCAGTTGGTATTTCAGTCTGCTTACCTTGAGTTTGCAGAATGGGCACAGGCCTTCCTGCCCCTTACCCTGGCCACTGTGGGTGGGTCTGGGGATGCACAGCTGACCTTGAATGGCTGATAGTTCCTTTCTTCTGGGGATTTGGGATTGCACTTGAGGACTATTGTGAGATGGGAAGCCATACAGAGCTGGAGGGTCAAGAGCATGCCATGCACAGCGGGGAAGAGATAGCCCTTCAGAGTAAGGAGAATGAGGGGAGGGGAGACTTTGATTGTGCCCTTTTAATTTCTGGTTCAAGTTTCTCATTAGCCCCACCTACTTTCGCTCTTGGAGTCTATGAGCAGCTAGCTAGCTCCTGGGTTTAATTTAGCTAGTTTATGGATGGTTCCTTAACACTCATTGGCTTTAGAAAGAAAAGGCAGACTGTCTTTCCCAGGCTCCATGTACCCTTGCCACCCAGGGGGACAGTGGACCAGGTGGCCTGGGAATGCCCATCTTGTCCCCTCTTCCTGAGGGTTGTCCACCTGGTGTTGGGATCAGGACCACAGAGACGCTTTGTTGAATTCTGTTGGTCTGTGTTTAACTGATGAATTTCTTGGGATCAAATGCAGGAAATGATGCCAATGACATGTTCTGTGCCATTTTCTGGGGTCCTAGAGGGTCTGAGAATGGTCAAACCCTGAATCACACGCAGTTTCAATTGATTTCTAAGTAGAAGAGGCAGTTGAGAAAAGCGTGAATGTAGTCCTGGGTTGACCTCAGATAAAGGGAATCTGGAGAAGCTCTAAACTCTTGTGCTGCTCAGCTCAGCTCAGCAAGCTTGCAAAGGGCACAGGCCGGCGTGTGACCTCCTGAGAACCTTGAAGCAGCACTAGGTGGGATGAGATCCCATGCAGAGCAGGGGAAGGTAGCTTGTGTGATTCACCTGGGGTTGTTGGTTGTTTGGGTTGCTGGGCTTGTGTCACCCAAATTGTACGCTCCTTGCTGGCAGAAAACCACCTCGCTGGTACCAAATGCTGCAGACCTGATCCAGCCATAAGTGCTCAGGAGGCTCCTGCCCTTTCTACACCAGCCATAAAGATAAAGTGAACCCATCCTAGAGCCCAGAGTCCCAGCTGCTGACAGAGTGAGAAACACTGTGAATTGCCCACAGCCAACTTGGGTTTGGGGCAGACTGAAGGATTGATAGTGTTTAATGTTTAATCATCTGGAAAATAAAGGCAAGACAGCATCGGGACTAGGAGATCAGATAGCCCTGGGGTCATTTCTCAGTTTCTCCATTTAATAGTTTCATGACCTTGAGCCCCTGGCATAGCTCTCACTCTCCTATCTATGAAGCAGAGATGATAAGAAGCTCTGGTCTCTTATCATGGGTGCTTGCAGCACAGAGCCTGGCCCAGGGGAAACACCCACTTTACACTTGTTCTCTGTTGAAATATAGAGACCGTCCACAACAGAAGGCCCCCGGTTTTTAACATTTTTCCTAATTAACCCCAAAGTATTTTGTTTGCAATACTTACAGTAGGGGATCTCAAAATGTGGTCTCCAGGCCAGCAGGTTCAGGATCACCAGGGCACTTGCTAGAAATGTGAATTCTCTGTCCACTCCACAGACCTACTGGATCAGAGAATCGAGGAGTGGGGATTTGCTGCAGAAGATTGAGACCCATGACTGTTCAGAAACACCCCCCATTTCTCCTTGTGACTTCCCTTTCCTTGGATCCCAAATGTCGAAAATGCAGCCTCTGCAGGAATTCAGGAAATTCCTTGTTTTCCCTCTTCTACCTTCTAGCTGGTTTCCAAGGCCCCTGCAGCTCTGCTATTGCTCAAGAAAACACCTGTCCTGTCTGCCACCTGGCAGCTGAGCCATTCCCCAGGACTTCTTGCTCAGGTGGCTCTTACCCACATCTCTGCAAAGCAGGGAGAGGAGGCAGTGAGCCGGAAGGGCCCGCCTGTGCATGGTCAGCTCTAGTAGTGGACTCGGGCCTCAGACTCCTCCTTCCTGGCTGCTACGCTCACTTCAAGGTGCTGTCACTGTTCTAAGGGATCTCAGATCCACCAGGAGACTCCACAGTGCAGACGGAGGCTGTGGCAGGCAGCACGTGCAACCTCTTAGACCCGAGCCCTCCTGGCTTTGGGAAGGAAGGGCAGGTTTCCTAGGGGAGTGGGACATAATAACAACCACAGCCACCACCAGTGCTTATGCCTCTCAGGCCTGCAGGGGGAAGGCGGTTCCTCCAGTGACCCATTATTACCATGATCATTTTGCAGCTGAGGTACTGGAGGCTGAGAGAGGTTAGGTAACTGGAGCACAGACACACAGCTAGGAAATGCTGACACTGAGGTTTGAATTATGAGAATTAAAGCTTTTGTTTTCATGAGGAATACTGTGCTGCATGCCTGGCTCTGCTTCATGACCTGAGACAATGGATTAGTTCTCTCTTCCTTTTCAGAGCAGGCTTCATTCTTCTATGTGTGGAAAACAAGACAACTGAAGACCTGACAATGGGCACAGAAGACTGAGCCCTGTAAGGGGCCCCCGAGACCCATTCAGTTCTGCTTCCTGCCAGGAAACCTCAGGAGCTGCTTCGCCCCTCCCCTGACTCAGGCAAAGGCAAGGCCCTACTGAGGTGGATGGCGCAAGGTGTCCATCCTCTGGAGGAACGCAGTGTTTCTGGGAATGGGCTGGTTTGTTTCTGTATTCCTTTAATAAGTATAGTTGTGACTTCTCATAGGACCATTAAGTATGAAGGAAAAAACATGACTTTCCCTATTAATGCAACTACTTCTTTCTTTTTTTTTTAAAGAGAGAGTGAGAGAGAGAGATTTTTTTTTAAATATTTATTTTTTAGTTTTTTGGCAGGCACAACATCTTTGTTGGTATGTGGTGCTGAGGATTGAATCCGGGCGTCACGCATGCCAGGCGAGCGTGCTACCGCTTGAGCCACATCCCCAGCCCAAATGCAACTACTTCTAAAGAATAGATCTGTTTGCTCTAAATGCAATGATTCAGCTGTGGAGCATAAATTGTTAATATTTAATGAAAAACTCCCTGTATTCCTGTCAGGGAAGTTTTTGAGAAATTAAA